ACAACCGTTTGCTCAAAACTAAATACCAGAGCCAAAAAAATGAAAGGAGCTGAGGTTGCTGAGCAGTCGACCGAACAGCTTCACACAAAAGAGAATTCTATGGGCCATACAATACAACTCATGTCATGGACGCGAAAACCATTGAGAATAGATTTCCTAATACCAGATTACAGTTGTCGTTATGCAGTTCCTTTATGTGTTCTGGTTCTGATCCCAAAACTCGAAATTTTCACCGATCAATCCTAACAGTTGTTTGAAGGAAGGTGTTAAGGATAAGTTGAAAACGAATGTTACTACAATGAAAGGCACGCACCCTAAGATAGTAATGGGACGAGGCGCGCTCTGCTGCTGTGCTCCCGTAGCGGATTAACATAGCCTTGAACGCGGCGGTGAGCTATCCTGGCGGCTGTCCACGCCCAGATTGACCAGTGTGATGGCCTCTTGACGTCGGATTCTAGCAGTTTTGGCAGAGAGGCAGAGCAACGCTCACTTTGATGATGTCAGCAACGAAAGAATCGCCCTAACGCGTTGGGGAACAGAGGGTCTCGTTGCGAGTTTCAGGCTGTTTCCCTTGAATTTTCTTCAGCTGCACCTCCCAGCAGCTTCACTGTCAAGCACAGAGATCGACCAATTTATTACGTCATCTGCACCCAGACAGCTAACAATAGGACCTCATTACACCTGGAATACAATCGTTAACCACAGTTATTTATAGTCATATTTTCAAACCCTGCAATTTCCATACCGCCAGACGTGTCTGATGCAGCTGTTCTTTCCACCAGAGCTGTAGTTACATTTTGAACGGAGCTAAGTGTACATAGTTTTTTGTTGTTTGAGATTGTTTCACGGTGCTTCATTTTCAGTCCAAATTCCCCACATTCACATCTGTAGCTCGAAATTTTCATTTCAGTCCAACGTACTGATGACAGCGCAACGGTCCGCAGGCGCTTGCAAAAATATCTAAGAAAGCTGAGCCGCATTTTTGACACCTCTCTCACTAGCTTCCTTTTAAATGCAAAAAAACTGAAAAATCGAGAGAACAGGCGCTCATGTAAGGGATATCGGCACTGACTTTCGCGTCACTATCTACGCCCTTCCAGCTATCGGAGCGTCCCATGTTTCCGAGGTAGTATCAGATTTTGCAACCCCCAAACCTAACTATTGATGAATAAAAGCTTCACTGCACTCTGAAGCTGTGGGCGTAGACCAAACAGGGAATTAAAAGCTGCCCGGCAGGGCGGATACGAGCGCATGTTACTGAGGTCACAGCATTGGTGAGCGCGGCGACAGGAAAAGGCTGGTGTCAGAAGTTCAACGATCCACCGGCAGGTTTCGCTGGATTTTCGGCGATCTGCGCTGGATTGCGCAGGCGACGGGTCACGGAAATCACAAGTGCCCGATCAATACTGCGAGTGTTCTCCAATCCCGCCGCCACTTCTGCTTGATAGTGATGGCTGAATGACGACTGCTCATGATTCCACTTGTTTCATATTCAGTGTTTCAAATGTTCAAATGGGGCACTTGCAATTTTGCGATCCGTCGCAGGTTTCGCGCAAATCGCGAAAATCAGCGAAACCTGCGACGGATCGCGGACTCTGACACCAGCCTAAGCAATAGCTAGTGCCGCTGCTACTTCGCTCCATTTATAAAGCCGCCGGGATCTTTCGCTCCCATCCAGTCAGTAGAGCCGGAAGCAAAAGTTATTGCGCTACTTATAGATTACATTTCGAACTTAGGAATCTTTTTTTGGAAGTACGAAGCAAACTGATGTCTCATTTGTAATCCCGTGGAGGTAAAACACGGTTAAGTTGAAGTTTACGGTAGGTAAATACATCCTCCGCGCTGTGACGTCACGAGCCGCTGCACTCTGACGCGTCCGCGGAGCGCATCCCATTGGCCCAACAAACGTGTCTGTACTGATCTAAGTTCCTTAATTGGCTTTACATTTGACTCGTTAGCTATAATGAGGTCGATAACTTGTACGATCAATAACTCCGTTCACAAAAATTCGTCGCGAACTTTATTAGAATATAAAGACATTCGTGGTCTCCTGTCATCTGCTGGTTACAGTACTGAACACATTTCACTGATTCCCTTGGCTTTTTTCGCAAATTATGCGCATTATGTACAGCGAATATCTGGCAGCAGTTCAACGATCAAAATGAGAACATATTTATTTATGTGATGCAGTGAATACTGAGGGCATAGGTATGATAATAGTCGTAGTGGCAGGATATTTTAGAAAATTCAAGAAATGCCGGCTAGCCACAAGATGTCCGTCGAATCTGTGGATTGAAATATATAACAGCTAACCTGAAAATTAATCTTTATCACTTATAGGGTGAACGTTTGTCAGCACAAAACCCAAATGTCCCCTTCACAAGTGCAAATGTGCCCCGTCGGATGTGGGACCTGGAGCAGTGCCATGACAAGGATGAAATGGGGAAGTTGATGCAGCATGATTGCACAACCCTTTAAAGGCTACTCTCCACATCAGGTAGCAAGACGCTTCATTAACGGATGCTCCAACTGTTTCGGTGGGAATGACCTGTGGAGGGGTTCGTCGGCTAGCCTCAGAACCAACCTTATTTCTGGTTTCAGGTGAACTAATCACCTAAAATACCTCAATCCTGAACCACTCCGCACTAGCGCGGAAAATCCTTACGCCTAGGCAAAATGTTTTTTGCCTTGAATTTCGTATTTTGAAGCTGCACACTGCCACTGCTGCCGCCATTGGGCACTCATGTCGAGAGATAAATGCGTGAGTCGCTACTTACAATGCCTAAAACTAAGCCTCAAGTAAAGGAATGTTGGTTGGAAGAGGATGAGATAACTTTTCTCCCTGGTTTCTTTCTTTCCTTGGTTCAATTTTGATGTCGCTTACCAGCGCTTTTCAAATTCCCTTTTTTCAATGCCCCTCCCCCCCCCCCCTTGGGCGCCCATCCTGGGAAGAGGTGATAATGCACTCCACCATGTCCTGAAATATTCAAATGCTTACCCTCCAGCGGTGTGAGAAAGTGCCCATACAAACGTGGTACACATGAACAGGCCGAATCCATTAGGCATCACTCGAGTAATCAGGTGGAAACACAACAGCATAAACGCATACATACAGGAGCTCAGGAACGACTTAAAGGCATTTGCGATTTCCGTACACAATAATCTCCATTTTGGATACATAGATGGCTGATTATAATTATCTATCTACAATTTCATACCAAACGGTTGTTGCGAAATTTTACCGCACTTACAATAGTCTCAATGGATGTCCCACCATCTTGATGGCGCCAATCTTGCTGTATACGATAAATTTGACGTGACCCATGTACCATCTACGATCAACGGACATTCATCTGTGATGAATGTGCTACATACTTGAAAGAGTAGAACACACCTGAGCAAATAGATGAGCTTCTTTTCTCAGTCGCCGCTTATTTTGTGCCTCAGCTTCGATTCCTGTGAGTGATATCATTCTCTGAAATTAATTTTCTCATTTCTGTATAGAGTTCAAATAAGTAGTGTGGTGTTGTTTACAAGGGCTATACTTTGGTTGCTGATCTCAAGTGCAGCAACACCACCATATCAATGCCACATGTGAGCACAAAGATTGAGACGTTGTAGCACATATCGACGTAAAAGGACATCATCTGACTGCACGGTTCCTCACCAAACGTCCAGATGCTGTACTGGTGATCATAGTAAAAGCTGCAACCATCTAAAGACTACATTCAAGACATTATCGCGTTATCAATTCCAAAAATCGATCTAACCTATGAAGTAAATACCGAAGTACAGTAAACAGATGAATGAAATTATCAGCAATAGTATTGGAGTGACCCGTTCGCTAAACATGCTCCTGTAGAACGCAGGAAAAATCACCGCGATGAATCTGTGACAGTAAAATTGTTATATTATTTCCATTCGCTTGAATTGTGGTTATTCTGCAATGCAGAAGGCCACCAACCAAATTTTGCTTCGCTGTTCTAAAAAAGTCGACAGAGATGTGCTTAAGGTATTTACATATCACTCAAGAAAGCGGTTTTCACCGTATACCTTCAAAAGGACAATATCGTCCACGCATCTTAGCGCGTATGGACGTAAATGGGCGTCTACTACGTTTTGAGAAGTTAAAATGACGAGGCGAGGCATACCTGTTAACAGTGATCAGAAAGCTGCAGTGAAATGCAGTTTCTACAAAAAATAAAGACGTCTGTCCAACGAAAAGATTCATTCCATGGATTTCTACAGGAATCTCGCTGTAATTGTTTGGCTCTTGATTATTACATATTAAATATGTAAAAAATTAGAAAAATAAAGCTCATACAGGGAAAAGCAAAAAAGAATTATCCAATGCTCAAATCAGCAATTTTTCGTTGCATTGGGTGCAGCCAGCGATGGAAGTTTCTCAGGTTCTCTCCATAAGCACGAACACACCTTCCTCTCTCCCCCTTCACTGCCGTCACAGTCAGGAAACTGTGACGGCAGTGAAGGGGAAGAGTGTGCTCTCCGATTCTCAGAGGAGAGCATTTGGCTCGATCTCAGCAAAGTGTAATTTTTAAGCAGGGTGAAAGCGAATCTGTTTTTTTCTCCCCCCCCCCCCCCACCCGAGCCTCCCCCTGTTCATATCTGGCTGTAAGACATCTGCTGAAACTCACAGTAACGTCCATGGCGTTGCCCACAATAGAAAGAGCAAAAGGATACATGAATTAGGATAGCGCACCATATGCAGACAGATAACCAAAGGAGTTCTTGAAAGCTCTGTGTCGAATCAGAATCAGAAATGAAAGAAAGTTGCACATGAAGCCAAAGAAGGACACCTTCAAACATACTATACTTTTTACAGAATTTCTTTATTGCTAACAAACAGTAAATTGGCATCACGTCTAAGAAAGTTTAGTGACCATGAAAGCCATTCACAGACTAGATGCTGTCCATGTCAACAAGTTTTCTTTTCGAAGATATTAGTTTACTTACTTTTACTTACTTACTTTTACTAGGCTAGCACATGTAATCAAAAGAACTGGCTCGGATATTGGACACATATAATGTTGCCTTTATAACTTTATGCGTAGAGATTATGCGTAAGCTCACATGACTGTAAGATTCTTCAGTGAGAACTTATCTTACTCATCTTATCTGTTGCCTACAATGACTTCGATCATAGCGTATGTAGTTCCAGCGGCACCACATTTCCCTTGAATTGGACGGTGGACTCTCAAACGAGAAATTGTTCGATGATCTACAGATGATACGATAGCTTAATCAGGACCTCCATACATCTTATCGAATTTGGAAAGGGTTCTGTATCTGATCTGATCCTGTTTTGAGGGTTCGTTCAAGAGCAATAGAAAGAAACCATTTGAGTTAGTGGTCGAATGTAAAAGCATACTGGCTGTTGCTAACGCTTTGACGATCCAGAAGGGTCTGGCGTGTATTTTCACAAGAACGTTCCTGGAATGCTGGTGTACCTCCGAAGGGGATTTTGAATGAATTGATACCGGCTGTCACACAGCTGGCAAAGTCACTGTTAATGACATTTCCATTCCACGGTACCATCAGTCCTGAGATGCAGCTTTCTGTCTACATTGGTCTTTGTCTACATCTACAAACCTTTATTCATTTCGGTTTCATTGACGAAATGATTCCACTAGCTTAAAATATTGATACCCTACCCTGCAACCCAACTCTCGTACGAGTGCTTTGAGTCTATTCGACTCGGATTTTGATTAAGCCAGCGATGTACTGACCGTGCCGATGAGGATTGTTTCAACAATGGTGACTGCCAGGCTTTCCTTGAATTGTCCTGAATTATTCATCAAAGTCGAATTACCTTAACATTTCAGCTTTGATGAAAAGACATCTCTCCTTGTCAAAGATCAAAAAAGAGGTTTTACTGGGTGAAGTGGGAAGCTCCAGGGAGGAAGATGAGCGAAACTGAACGCTGCTGCCTATCGTCGCTTACTGCATGCGTACACGGAAGAAATGCGTATAACAATCTAAAAACATGAAATCATATTTACGACCAAGGGAATCGAATTAGCTTTTGGCACGTCTGGTACGTTGGTGTTAGTCAACGAGAAGTGGTAAACAAGAAAAAGATCAAGAAAAGTAAGGCAGGAAATGAGCTTTGAAGAAATGCACATTCCTCAGTAGCGGAAGGAAAAATTGGTTATGTTATGACCTAGTAGGTAATGACTGAATCGCCACATCTGAAAGAACCTCTCTACCACTCGCTTTTATGTGGTTTTATCATCTGCA